AGGAAACAGTGTATGTACTCTTACATGCCCCCATGCCTCCAAACACAGCTCATCATCCAAAATCAGTTTACTATGACCTATATATATTAAATACTTGGCCTCATTGTTCATGCTATACTCCTTGCTCATGCGATACATCCTATCCACCGTTGAGGCCTCATTAAGCCATTCTGCATATGTGGTTAGTTGCAGACACAGGTTGAAAACTGCGGTTGCCAAAAGTGGGTTGAGTCCCAGCCTGAAGTAGTGCAGGAGAGCCTCATCATCGAACTTACTGGCCAGGGAAAGACCTTTGAAGAGTGTGATAAACTCATCAGCAGTCCCTTTGCCCTGCTGCAGTTTCATCAGCTTTGCCTGTGCTACCTGTTTTCACTCTTATTCCTTCAGCAAGCTCAAGATATATTGTTTCGTCTCTGCAGACACTTCCCCCTTCCATCACATACAAGTTGAGAGGCAGGTCAGGGACAAAAAAAACATGCCCACAAAAAAGCAAGGAAAAAAGTCCTAAATGTGGAGATGAATGTGTGGAAAATGAAGGTGGCCAGGACGATTAATATGCAACTGAAGTAGCCATTAAAAGACTTGTTGCTTGACAGAGAACACTACTGGCTCACAGTAGGTATTGCAGTCCCTTGCCAGCAGCCGGAAAATTTGGCAGCACATTTCTGCAGCTGAGGATTGCCAACCCTGCCTTGAACTGCTTGTTACTCGGTCAATTCTGATCCAATTGAGTACATCCTCGGCTCAACTGAAGGGGAATATTGAGGCATAGGAGCTAGTAACAAGCCATCTTGAAAGTTTCTTCTATGTGGCGCATCACGGTGCATTCTTGATCTCAATCAGTAAATACTTATTATCTGGTATGCATGGTGGCTGCAACGGATTTTGGTGACATGGGGATGGTTGCTGCCTTGTTGGCTTTCAGAAACACCTGGAAACACCCAAATCCGTTGAGAATTGGTTGAGAAATGACTGTTGGTGGCTCGAGTTTGAAACCCACCACCGGAAATTTGATGCGCTCAAATTCATTGATTTACACGGGAATATGATACTCACGTGACGCCCTACTTGACAGTTCTCCGACCCAACTTGAATCAGCCCAATCGGTCCAGATTTGAGGGAGCAATGAGCCCCAGAATGTGTGTAGTTCAAAGTTGTTCTTTTCTTCTATTTTTAGAGAATGTCATCCATTTTGCAAACAGCTGTAATCCGCATGGATCTTGCCCTCCCCTCATCATCTCTGCCTTTCATGTCTGGTGACAGCCCCCTCCGCATGAACACTGACAGGCACAACCAATACTTGTACCACATCTCCTGCTACCAATGCAGTCATGTCATTCTAGATGCAGCTAAACTTGATATGGCACATGATAGCTGGTTCAAATCCTGCCTAAACCAATTTTTGCTGGTCAAGGTCATATAATTGATTTCTCAACACTCACTGCTAGCTCATGCCCTGTCAACACCCTTTACCTGGACAAAAGTCTCCATCCTTCCTGTCTACTACTCATGCCAGACAATTCAACATTCCCAATTCTCAATCCTGATACTCTGCTGGCCTTCCTTCCACATGGTGTCAGGCTTCAGTATGAGGGATCAGGATACCTCTTGATTGCAGTGCTTTTGGTTTTGGCCAAAGTAATTACTCATAATTAACACTAGCCTATCTTGCAGTCTCCACCCTATACCAAGGTATTCTTCCATAAATTGCTGTAGCACCCTGCATTAATCTAGTGGCACCACTTGCAGAGCTGTCCAGATCAGTGCCAGCCACCACCACTCTCTTCATATTGTGGCTGTCTTCAGGTAGTTGTCAACTTCCTCCTAGTCACCTGGTTCATGACTTTGGGGAGTTCTGTCACTATTCCCCTTTTCACTGGCATGATAAACAGTGGCCCTACAGTGCACTGCATCAATACCTCTGTCAGAACTATTACTTTAAAGTTTCTATTTGTATGTTCACCATCTCTAGGAGCTGCATCCTGTTAGATAGGGAAACTCAGACGAAAGGTGGGTCTTAGATATGTTGCAGATGGGGAGGTGAAAAGCCCAGATCCATTGTACACTAGCATACATATATAGCTGAAAAAGCCCTCCTGGGTCCTACTGGGTAATCAATTTCATCAACTAAATAAAGTAAATGAAATGGAAGAGGGATCACGAAGTGATTCCAGATCACAAGTAGTTTGGCACTGTGAGCCGACAATGTACAATCCTTACACTCGGCATGCGTTGCCCATCACTTTTCACAAGTTAGCTGGCTAACCAGCAGCGCCAGCAAAAGTATCTGGGTCTGTGCCCAGCCCTCTGTCTCCACCAGCATCAGCAACATCGCAGTGATCACGACATCCAGAAATTCCAAATCACCAATGTCTGACTCCCAACATGAGAACGGACTTCACCTCAGGACCCAACAAGGTCCACATCACCCTCACCTGCTGCCTGCCCAGCAGTATCTCAACGAGCATGCAGGCAGCTTTATTGTCACCTCACACAAGATCCCTGCCCACTGATGGGCCATCCCCGCATTCCCAGCCACCTCCCAACCCATTTCCATATCAGTGCCTCCACCCTCACCCCTGCTCCCAGAGTATAGTATGTCTACTACTGTTCTCATATATGTCTGCCTTAAGAAGCTAATCTCTTTCAGTTAAACCTGACACAATGGGCTGGAACCTAGGGAAGACTGAGAAACTGCACAATCTGTCTATTGATTTGGCAAAGAACACTCTCAAGTTTGACCGTTGTCCAGCTAGGTGTGAGCCACTAGGGGGGGGGTGGAAGGATCCTGAATCCAATGACTCGGACACGGAAGATCCTGAGCTCGAAGAGGGAGATCATCTTCTTGTGGTAGATTTCCAGGAGGAACTGCGCATTTGCGCTTTTCAGACCAAAGCTGGCAAAGTGTCTGAAGAGAATTCCAAGAAGGACAAGCCCAAGTCCTTCGAGGAGTCGGTTCCCAGGAAGTACCATGACTTCAAGGACTTGTTTGACAAAGAGAGCTTCGACAAGCTGCTGCCTTTTAGGCCTTTGGACCATGTTATTGAATTGGTTCCCAACGCTAAGAATCTAGACTGCAAGATCTATCCACTCAGTCTGGAGGAACAGAAGCAGCTCGACAAGTTTCTTGATGAGAACTTGAAGACAGGAAGCATTAGACCATCGAAATCTCCTATGGCCTTGCCGTTCTTCTTTGTCAAGAAGGACGGTGCTCTTTGACCTATACAGGACTACTGGAAGCTGAATGATATGATGGTTAAGAACCACTATCCTCTTCTGCTTATCCAGGAGCGGGTAGACAAACTCAGCCAGGCTCATTGCTTCACCAAGCTGGATGTCCGTTGGGGGGCTTAACAATGTCAGGATCAAGCAAGGAGATGAATGGAAGGCAGCGTTTAGAACTAACAGAGGGCTGTTTGAGCCTCTGGTGATGTTCTTTGGCCTGACCAATTCACTGGCTACGTTTCAGACATGAACACAATCTTCAAAGATGAGATTGATGGTGGAAAGGTCATTATCTACCTCAATGACATCCTCATCTTCACTGAAACATTGGAGGAACATGAGATCATGGTCCGGAAGGTTCTGCAGAAACTGCATGCAAACAAGCTCTTTTTAAAACCCCGGGGTCCTGATCGCGATAGAATGTCATTACATAATTATCGACCAAGTAAAAATGCTTGACAGGAACATATTTCACTTTCTTCATCTGCAAACTTTCTAGGAATGAGTGTATTGCATGCAAATTGGTTGTCTCGCCTTCCAGGATTCTTTTAATGTCATTTGAGGCTGTAGACGATTTCTTTTCGAACTGTCACATTACAGTCACATGAACTCCCCTCTCCTCTCCTTAGATCTTCGGATAAACCACGGAGCCTAGGAGCTAAATCTAAGGTATGTCCTCTCCACCCTTTCTTGCAAGTATCTTTTGCTCATCTTAGACTCTTCAGGCCTGGCCTGCTAATGGGACAGCAGGCAGGTGCAGACTATGCTTTGAAGGGCCCCTGTTGGGTCTTAACACTTCTATTTCTCTGCCAGTTGTGCTGGCTTGGCACGTGGAAAGGATTGGCAGGTGATGGCATCAAGTTTACCAGGTACGTACCCTAGCCAACACGTTGCCACATCAACTCATACTCCTTTCTGAGTTCTCTCTGTCAACCCTCTGTAAGCCAGTCTGCATATGTGGCTGGTTGCAGACACAGGTTGAAAACTGCGGTGCGCACATGCGGGTTGAGTCCCAGCCTGAAGTGGTGCAAGAGAGCCTCATCATCGAACTTACTGGCAGGGGCAAGACCTTTGAAGAGCGTGATGTACTTACTCATCAGTAGTCCCTTTGCCCTGCTGCAGTTTTAGAAGACATGTATTGGAAGTAGGCAGTGAACTCGCTAACGAAACACTGCCAGGTCGCGATATGAACGGTTTTGGGAACCCCATTGTTATAGTCTACAATGTTCTTTTGCTGTAGATCAGCCCAGTTGCCTGCAATATTACCAGTGCCGCCTTTCACAAGAGAGAGCGCAAAGATGATGCGCTGCTTATCCCCTGTGATCTCTTGTCCGTCGAAGTACAAAGCTAGAGCGTTGAGAAACGCTTCAACTTTGTCTGGCTGTCCATTGAAGCTCTCGGGTGAATCGAGCTTCAACGGCTTCTTCGGAGTTGGACGGGTGGTGTAGGCCTGAACAGCAGTAGCAATGCGTTCAGTTGCAACTGTGCTGTGCTCATTGAACCTGAGCAACGAATAGAAACTGCTCAACAAGCTGTGAATAGCAGCCCAAAGCAAAGTCCAGAATCCGACAACTGGGTGTTCAGTAGAACCAGTCTTTTACTTACTTAGCTAGTCAAAGGACAGTTTTGCTACCTACATCTTCATCTTCACACACACTCCTGAGGGCACCATCTGTCATCTGGCATTTGGTTCTAGCCATCCTTTGTGCTGAATCCCAAGTGTCATTCTTGTTGAGAAATCAATTATGTGACCTCGGCCAGCAAAAGGGAAATATTGGCTTAGGCAGGATTTGAACCAGCAACACTATCATGTGATGCTAGCGCTCTAACCAACTGAGTTACTAAGCCGTTGGAAGAATTGGCTGGTTAGTGGAGGTGGGCACGGCCCGTTCTTGTTGTCATCAGTTTATTGATATTTCGATCACAGGCTTCCCTGCCAAAATATGATGCCTGCATGCCGGCACATTTTTAAGCACGTCGGGGCATTCGGCCAGCATTTCTGGTAGTACAAAAATCTTATTTTATGTCTAGCTACAAGATGTATGAAAAAAAGTTTAGGAATTCGGATTTTGATGTATGAAAAAAAGTTTAGGAATTCGGATTTTGAGTGAACATTCAATGCATTCAAGGCATATGCTGAGAATCACTTTGGACGCAAATTCAAGGCACTGCAGGATGATGAAGGTGGGGAGTACATGTCTACTGAGTTCAAGAATTACTTGCTCTCTGAAGGCATTGTGTGTCGTCATTTGATGAGGAATAGACCACAACAGAATGGGAGAGCAGAGCGAGGTAATCACACTGTTGATGAGCACACAACAGCTATGCTGCATGAAGCAAATCTTCTGCCTCATTCAAGGCCCTTGCTGTTGCAGCCAGCATACATCCACGTTGCCAACATGCATCCTTCGAGTCACATTCCAGAAAATACAACTCCTCATGAACTCTGGCTGCAAGTAATGCCTAAGGTATTGGGAGAACAGATGTAGATGCTGCTGCAGGGGCAGACGGGTGTGGGTGGTTGGTGGGAGTGGTGCACCCCACGGCATGAAGGCATAAGGGTTCATACCCAAAACCAGGCTTTGCTGGGGCCATGGTTGGAGTCTGCACACCACCGCCAAATTTTTTGAAGAACATTGCAAAGAGATCAGCCTGGGGTGGTGTTTTGAGTGTGACATTATGCATCCCAGCAGCCTTCAGGATAATCTCTTGTAGAGAATGTCACTTGTGCTTGGTACTCACCAGGGAGCAGGCCCATGCATGTTGCTGACCATTGCTCAAAACATGGTGATTTCCGGCCGAATCAATCTTGCACACTTTCGAAGTGCCACAGCACTGACAATGGCCATACTGCAGCTCTCCCATCAGCTCATCATCATTGTTATCTGAGTCCGGAACCAGGATCTCCCCAGCTGGAGAATAATGAGCATCGACACCGCGATACCCTCCATAGTAAAAGTTGAGAGTTTGGTGCATGGGGGTCTCAGGAGGCGAGGGCAAGGGGGGGCGGTGTCGATGGGAGCAATAACAGAAGCACTGCAACCAATAAACTGAGTGAAGGCAAGGAAGAGGAAAAGGTGGAACTCACACCTAGTAGAGGCATGTCTTACGCTAGTGTAGGTCCTACGCTTGGACCAAGTCAAAATCCCGATCTCCTGAGTGATGTGTCAATCAGGTGTATTTGGAGGGATCAATGTCTGCCAGAAAACAATAATCTTGTTCATTGCTACATACATGAAAAGATCGAACAGTACCGCCACAGAACTTGGCTGGGTGTGCAGAAAGCAGGATCTATTTCCAAACATATGATATCTGGGTCCAAGCCCAAGGGTTATGAGAGGATGAGCCCAACCTCCAGAGGCCGATGCATACTCCGGAGTCCAATAGCCCCAGCGCTGGGAGCCCTACAGCATAAAAGGCCCACGTTGCCTCCCCCCGCCCCTGCCCTGAAAAATGGCTGCAGTGACCACCACAAATACCACAAATACCACACTGCAGAAAAGACTTAGCAGAATTTTGTACTGCTACCACGCTTACCATTCACACACTAGGAGACACAACAAACAGCACACAGCACATTCATTCATCGCGGAGAGGGACACATGTTGTATATAATATAGGTAAAAAAACGACCCATGGACGGCGAGCAAGAGGGGGCAGGCAACAGCAAGCAAGAAGGGGGAGAACAAGACCATGAACAACTACTCCACCTCAGACTCCTCGTCCTGGATTTCGGTGAGCCCGTGAGGCACCTTTGTCTTGGAGGCCACATGGTGTGCCTTGAGGAGCTTGAGGGCATCGTTGGTTGCGTTGGCCTCCTCGGCCTTCTCTGCTGCAGACTTCTTGGTCGAGGAAGATGCCTGAGCTTTCTTCTTAGGGCAGGCGGCCTCAGTGTTGCTGTCAGACACACTGGCCAATACTATGTGCTCAAGATGGAAAGGATTGCCTATATTGCTAGTGGAGATTCATATGACCAGGTCAATACTGGAGACTACAGCGACTACAGGAGTGTATATATACTAGTGGGTGACATGGGAATGCATGGGAATGATCTGAGTAATCATAGGAGTGTCCTAAACTAATATGGTAGTGTCCTTAGTAATCATAAGTATCTGAGTAATCATGCTATCCTAGGGACTGCTCGCGTAGCTCTTCCAAATTTTTCAGATGTCTGAATTTTCCACATACATCTTGTAGATACATTGAAATAAAAATATTTGGCTGCCGGACTTTAGCGATGTGGTGCTGTTGACGGCGGCTCAAAAATGTGCAGCAGTGTCGACGCCATCAAGGTGATGGGGGCTACAACGACTACAGGGGTGTATATATACTAGTGGGTGACATGGGAACGATCTGATAAGTATGGGAGTGTCCTAAACTAATATGGAAGTGTCCTTATCAATGATAAGTATCGCGCTATGTAAGCTATCTACAAGGCAGGATAAGGAGTGTGACAGTAGATGGAGTCCAATAAGGCCCAGATAAGCGCAGATCAAGTCCGATAAGGCCAGATAAGGCCGGATCAGGTCCGATAAGCGATCTGTTCATGACATTACCCCCCTCTTAAGGATTGTGTCCACACAATGGGTCGGAATGATTCAATCTTCCCATTCTCCCAGTTGTAGAGATGTCCAGGTAAACAGGGTGTGGTGGTGAAGTTTTCAATGGGTTTATAGATAAAACAGACGTTTCGGGGGCGGGGGCGAGGGGCTGAGGGATTTTTTCGGTGGAACTCATCAAGCAGGCCAGCATTATCTGTCAAGTTGCCAACCGGCTCCCAACTGTCTTCCTCCTTTGGATATCATTTCCAATGCACAAAATATTTGAGCTTTCCATTCCTAAGCCTCGAATCCAACACTTCTTCCACTTCATACTCCAGGTGATCATCAACAAGCTCATTCAGTGACATTACGTTGCCTGAACCTTCAAAGCCCTTACGTTCACTGGCCAGGCACACCAAGCCACCATTAAATTACAAACAAGGTCCTGTGAAAATCCGCTTTGAAATGGCTCCAAACAGGGCAATTTACTGATTTTGATGCGAAACTCGGCACACCAAGCCACCATTAAATTACATTTGTTTGCACTGGAATGGAGAGCACAAAGTCTTCCCAGAAAGGACCTGGGGCACTAGAAGGAAATGTAAAGAGACAGTTCTAACCGAAATTGTGCTGGCTGTTCGAGTGGGCTGCATTCATTGCAAATTCAATTCCAGGTAATCGCTGCACCCAATTCTTTTGGTCTAGATCTACACACTGCCTAAGCATCTGAGTCATCGTTCTATTCACCCTCTCGGTAGCGCCGTCTGTCTGAGGGTGATATGCCAGTGACAATTGCAATTCCGTGTTGATCAACCCATGCAAGGTTTGCCAAAATATGCTGGTGAATAATGAGTCCCTATCACTGACAATAATTTCCGGAAGCCCATACACCTTGTAAACGACATTGAATATCAGCTCCGTGATGTCCTTCGCCTTATAAGTCTGCTTAGTCAGCACCAAGTGGACCATGGAAGTCAAATGATCAATTATCACGCAGATCATGTCGAAACTCCCATGTCGGTTATTTGAAGCTGGCAAGGGACCGACAAAATCTATTCCAATGGACTGCCAAGGCCATCTTGGAACCTCCAAGGTACGAAGTAATCCCGCCGGCTTCTGGGTTGATGGCTTGCTCATTGCGCATACACTGCAGGAATCACAAATGCTGCCAAATCTCTGATCATCCTGTCCCACCATATGTTCTCCCGCAGGTAGTTCAGTGTTTTCCTGCTTCCTAAATGCCTAAATGCGCTAATAACGAGTGTGCCTGCTCAATTACCAACCTCCGGACATAGATGCCATCCACCACAATATTCGGAATGCACAGAAGTTCCGTGTCGCCAATCCTGATGAAAATCAATCCATCCCTCAATACAAAATCTTTGTAATGACTCGGCTTCAATTGCACCTGACGAAAGAACGCATCGTCCACATATTTGCCCTTGAGGATCTCAGGAGAATCGACGCCCACTGATACCGCTTTCACGAGAGATACCAGATTCGGAACTTCCTCAGCGATAGCATCTTTTCCAACACTGTCCTCATCCTGCAGTTCCTCTGCAATGTTTGCTACATCCTCCAGACTTTCCCTGACTCACTCGAGCTCCCATCTGTCTTCAGAATCAATGGTGGTCCCGCGACCTCTGTAGCTGCATCTGGCCTGTGCACCTGATGCGTTTTCCGATCAACAGTCATTTTTCCCTTGGCCTGGAGCCTCGCTGATCGCCTTCCAGCCTCGACTGCAGCTACTGGAAGGAAAAGATCACGCATAAATTAAGGGGTGGACGTCATCATCATAGTGTACTATGGCTATGAGACGCTTCAGCGGATCAAACACGAATGTCCCTCTTACTATCATGTCGAATTTTCAATCATGGCGATATGGCCCGTCTTCGGTGTCTGGGGGGCCTAGCCTGTCAGTCTTAGACTTCAGAATCAGACAGGTGACGTGATTCCCATCCGGGGTTTCGGTTGGGTTTTGGTCCGTTCCACGCCCAGAAACAACAGAAGTGCGAAGTGCAGTCAGATTTCCTGAAAAGAAAGTTTATCCTGGGTGTTGAATGGAGACTCCAAGTCCTGGTTAACTTGCTCCATCTGCCCATCGGTCTGAGGGAGGATAAATAAATAACTGTAAGCACAGCTCACGACCCCTCAGCTCAGCTCTCAGAAGTGATTTTTCAACACATTATTTTATAGTAGACCATGGCCCAAGCCAACCACGTTGTTACATGAATTACTATGTCCCAACACTAGTGATCTGTGAATGCAATGCACAATTCCAATCTGGAAGTGGACTTCATACAGTAA